CTAGGGGATAAAGCAATATTCTGGTCGCCGGCCAACGGTCTGCCTCGGACCTCACTTAGGTAGTGCAGGTCGGACGCTTCAAATATTCAGATGCCTTAAGACGCCGATTTCAAATAAAGAGAGCGTAGATAATCATTAGGTTGGATGCCTTCACCTCTCCATGAAACCTGTCTCCAAACGGCAAGAGAACTTGAGAGATGCTGAAGCAATGCCGGAGCCCCGAGGAGCAGAGGTGTGGGGATCCCGGCTCGGGAAGGGTCCCTGCATCCTTCTGCCCCCCCCAAGTAGCCCCTGAAGCACTGAATTATTTTCTCCGACCTACACGGCTCACCAATTCCTGCGCTTAGCTCCCGACAGCGGACAGAGGCCCTCCCACCAGGCGGGAAAGTGCCCTGCAAAGACTTGGCTTGTCCTTCCAAAGTGGGTGCTGTTCCCATTGCCATCCTCACACCTTCCCAGTGTCCCTTCAGGAGCAGCAGTAACTAAGTGGTTGTCAAGCACCAGGTTCTATTATACACAGGACCTTAACCCTCACCTTGCTGTTGGCCTTGCGGCGATTCTCCACATCTGGCTCCACACGTCCAGGATCGGGCATGGAGCAACCTACCTGAAAATTAACAGCCAGCAACGGGAATTGTCTGTGAATGATCCTGGGGAGAGAGAAAAGGCTCTTGTTAATCCCTTTACATTTTGATCATCACAACTGCAGATCCATCGTGGAAAAAAGCAGCGCAAGCACACACGAAAACTTCAGGGAAGCGTCAGACAAACTTTTCCATTTCCAACCACACGCTCGTGTCAGCGATCTCATCAGTAGGGACCCAGATAAACATTGCACAACCTGCTCCATGGTGACACGAGACAGCACGGGGTCCCACGTTTCAAGAGACAGGCTAAAATTATATTTGGATCTCTAAGAAACCTCTCTATAAAATTATTGTTGTATTTCATACAGCTATGACTGTAGCTACTAGAGAGACTCTTGGCTTAGTAATGACAGCAGCAATTTACCTTCACGTATTTGTTCGGTTCACAGTTCCTTAACACACATCTTGCTCTCTTCAAACTGGCCCTCAGCGTCTGGCGCTGTAGGAAGAGCTTTCCTACCCCACCAGACGGTGGTACTTTCATAGGGGAACATTTAGCTGGGGGAAAAATAAATCCAAAGCCACACACACACAGAGGGAAAAACGCTCGGCCCCTCTCTCAAGTCTTTTTATTCCCTTTTGCCACTAAAATTAATTTTGATCGTTTACAAAGGAACAAGTATTTCGGACTGAACGTCAGACCTTTCCTACTCCGTGCCAACGCTCCGTCTCCTTAAAGGGCTTTCCTGCACCTTGCAGAACGACCGTGATTCGGTGGCACTGACAGGAAAGGGGCCTGCCGAAAGATTCCAAAGCTCAATTATGGCAATGAGAAAACAGCCAAAAGCCACAGGTTCAGCATGAAAAGGCTCTTCAGCAACACAGAAAAGCCAGTTTGTGTTTTAAAATGTTTACACCGCAGGACTAACGCGGGATGTGAGGGAGATGGTGAGACAAAAACAGAAATTAAACATATTAGCAAGTTCCTTCCTCTCCTCCTCTTATTCCTCAAAACAAGTGTGCAGTGAAGAAAAGAAGAAAAAATTCCCATTCTTGTGAAACTTCTAGTCTGTTTTCAAAAAAAATCTTCTCGCAGCACACTAACAATGCAGGTAAGAAAAAGGAATGCAAGAGAAGAGGCTTTTAGAAAACTTAAATCACAAAAACATTTACATTCATGAAAGCAACACAGGAAAGAGAAGGGAATAACCGAAACCAGTGAAAGAAGGAAAGACCAAGAATAAAAGTTAATGACAGAACAAATTAGTTTTCAGACCAAATTGCAAACGGGTTCGGATTTGCACGTACGTTTCATGGTTTGCACACGCTATTTTCAGTATTTCAGCAACACTGCAAAGCCGTAAGAGAGACACGGAACCCACCGCCGTCTAGAAAACATTTTTCCTTTTTCTGTTGAACTTTGAGCCTTTCACAAAGTGTAAAACAGCCTTTACTAAAGTCCCTCCCACCCCCATCGTATCCTCCTCTCCATCAATTCAGCCTCTTAACTAGTACTGTTTCAGAGCACTGATGCACTCGATTTCTCTCCGAGCTGTTCCGCAAAACAAACGCGCGCACAGTCCGTGCAAATAAATACCCGCTTCACACGTACGCTTCCCCCAAAAAAGTGATAACGCTCTTTTTGTGAGAGTTGTAATTTTTTTGAATGGTTCTACTGTCCAATTTATTTAAGTTAGAATTTTCTTTGTCTTTTCTAAATCTTGAACCATTCCATAGTATATCTTTATTGCAAAAAAGTCAACATGCATCTTAGAAATTCAAATTGTAATCAATAAAACAAACATTACATATATGAATTTAAATGTATAAACAGTTAGAAATTCAACAATATCTCCTATTATACTATTACACAAGTTCACAATTTGTAAAAACTATAGTACAAGTTTACTATACACCAAGAGGAACTTTATTCCTTTTCACATGATTTTGTTAAAAAAAGTGTTGTTTTCACAATAAGCAGGCAACTGTTTTCAGATTTATCTTTTCACCTCTCGAGTTTGTTTTGTTCTTTTTGCTTAGGTTTATTCAACAATGAAAGGGAGATAATTCTTCAAAACAATTAGTTTCTTTTCTTATTGTATGCTCTTTCAATGCTTATACTCTGAAGCTCAGACTGGAAACACCTAATTACCCACGGCCTGCACATACACTGCCTGGTGCGCACGGGTGACATTGCTGATGGTGAATTTTGCCCCAGGTACTCTCTGAAAGCACACCTGCATTTCACAACAAAGCCTTGCCATAAAAATAAAGCTGTACTGTCACGTAACCTACTAAAATCGACAAAATCAAACCCCAAAACCCCAAACGGTTTAACACAGGCTAGCGTACCCTAAGCCACAGGGGGATCCGTCAGCTCTGGCACAGCGAAGGTGACTTTCAACCAGCTCTGCTCGAGCAGCAGGAGGCCGACACGCTGCACTGCCCATCACCCGACCCCGTACCACACCAGCAGCTTTCAGTGCCCACGCCAGCTTCAGAGGCACACGGCACTGCTGCGCCTCGGCATTTAGAAACCATGTCTGGGATGGCACCTGGGGAGTCACGGAAGCTGCCAATGTGCACTGTAAAGTGGGAGGGGAAAAAAAAAAGAAAGAAATTGTATGAAGCTCTCAAAAACTCCAACTAAAGCTACCGCGCTCGCTTCCCTCCTGTCTCGCCCAACTCGAGCGGCCGGTCGCACGTCCGGGCACGGGTCCCTGAACACAGTGTGCCAATTCAGGTCTCACTTCAGAGCTAAAACCATATGAAAAGGAATCCCATTCTACGTGTGTCAAAGGCTACTGCAATTTTTCTTACAGCTTCATTCATTCACTGTAATTTTCATTTTCCAAATACAAAAATACAACAATTCTTATTGAAATCTATACGCTGGTAGTTTTAGTACACAAAAAAGCAAAATATTTACAAAATTATACAGTTTAAGAAAAAACTCTGTACAAAAAAATATATAAATCCTTTTGTTCCCTCTGTCATTTTTTAAACTGTCAGGACTCAAATATGTTTGCTGCAATGAATTTTTCAAAATATACACTGACTGAGCCACAGACATTAAAAAAACCCATTAGAGATGATGGGAGAAAAGCAAGACATTCTTTTTAAGTACGTAGGATTGGTTTCCCCTTGTTTCTTCATGTCTGTAATTTAGCCTCAGTATTAGCAGGAAAGTCCCAATTACGTGAAGAGGTGAGGTTTCAGTGGGAAGGGACAGAATACTGAAAGACACGTGCCCTTCAACTGACAAGGAAACAGAAAATGATACTGGTTTGACTTGGAATACACCACCATGGCAAAAAGACAACAAAGTCAGGGCAACTGTCGACCCAAGGGCATGCTCAACTGCGTGTCACTAGCCAAGTTCAGAGCCATCGTCATTGAAAGGTTCTGACGTATGTTTTTCTTCAGCCGGAAACTTGCTGGGAAATACCCACTGGTAACTGGTTATTCAAAAGGGGAGGGCGTTTCTGCACCGACATGGTGTCTATTTTGCACAGAAACGCACATCGAGTGCACTGAGAGGCGCACGGTACAAACGGACAGAGCCAGGGCAAACGCTCACCGGGCAGCACGCTGCCGCGCTGCAGGGGCCGTGCCATGGGGGCACACGGGGCTCGAGTGTCCGAACTGGTCGTGCTCACTTCTGTCACAACACACACCATTTCGGGGGGGGTGTGTGTGTGTGGTGGTGGTGTTTCTAAAACGGTACAACAATAAGGCAGCTGAGAATGTGATGGTGTTCATCTGAAATGTGTCTGAACAAAACTGTTCTTGGAGATAAATTAAAGCCTTCCAAACCCAGCTCCGAACGCTCCTCTGCAGACTATCACTGGAAACACTGGTTCCACGCCAGTCTTTGAGCAGGACGCTGACATTCTGTTGGCTGAAAAGCATTTTGCTCTGAACACTTCAAGGGCTTGGTTCAAACATAAACACGCAGCTGGTAACAGGGAGAGGAGGAAGAGTTTCCACGGCTGGTAGGTGGTTGCCCGTTTAGCAGAGCTCCTTTTTGAGGAAGTATGAAACTCAGAACGTTCGTGTTCGCAAAGGCTGAAATGCAGCAAACAGCCTAACTTAAACCTGAACCTTATACTGAAAATGCAGAAGAAAATCAACAGTCAGAGAAAATTCGCTCAAATATGTGTCATCGCTGATGTTTTCTGTGAAGCAGAATTTGAAGAAACAGAGTGAACTGGACAATGTTATAATACCCCGTTAAATTGCTTCTTCCATCTCCTCTCACAAAAAGCAGCAGAGCACAGAGACCGTGTGGCTTTCGAACATACTGAAATGAATGAGTTCTGAATCTAGCCACAACGAATTCCTACAATAAGTGATTCCATAGGAAATAAAATGCTACCCTTTTTCAATTAGCAAATGAGGCAATTTTTTCTTTCATAACATTTAATGAAAGTTTGTGTCTTTCCCCCAATCCCATAATATTGCTAAATAAAACCTGTAATATCTTTTCAATTATAAACTAGCAAATCAATCACATTATAAAAAATCCAAAACAAGGTAATACAGGTGACACAAAAAGAGGACAAGAAAACACTAGTATTTTTTCCACCCTCTCTCTTTTTTCATCCTTCTTAAATAGAAAAAAAATCACAACCCTGGTGAGCTCGATAATGACATAAAACATCACGGGGCCTTTGGCTAGCTTAGTATCACAGCTCTACATCCCAAATGTTTCTGTAACAAACTTTGCTCACTTCGAATTTGAAAAGAAAGTAAAGCTTTTTTTGGCTCATCAACTTCCTTAAATAAACGTTTAAAAGATGTAGCTTGAACTATATTCCTAAAATTATACATTTCCAACATCAAGTTTCATCTTCTCCAAGAACGGGACTCATCCTCATCTTCGTCGTCATCATCATCATCTTCGTGCAAAAATAAATCTGAGGTTTCAGTCTCCTAGATGAAGGAAAAAACCATACTTGTAAACAGAGCAGCTCCATGCTGCATCCTAGACACGGCACGCAACACGGCATCGCGGTATTTCACATCGGGCTCGTTTATCGCGCGTCTCACCGAAACGCACGCGCTCAGCGAGTCTGATGGGAAGAACAGGAGCCTCACTCATCAAGAAAGGAAAAGAAAGTCACACTTCAAAGGAAGCAGGAATAAACAACCACCCACTCCCTCCGAAACAACAGTTTTGAACTGTGTTAGATGCCTACACGGAAAAACCTCTGAAAGCTTCATGTGTTCACAACTACAGGCGAGAATAGATGTAACTTCTGCAGTGCAGCACCAGCACTGCAGCAGAGGAGCAGCCTGCCTACAGAGAACGTGAGGTTTATTTTCATAGTTCACAAACCAACATCCCATCCACAAAGTGCATTTTTCTTCCCCCTTTCCCCTTTTCTAAAATGTGGAAAATGTACCTGACTATTAAAAAACAATGGTGATGTTTGTGGTTTGCAAAAAGATCTTTTATGAAATCTCTTCAATAATCAGAAAACTGTATTCTTAAAGGGCTCTTAGCTGCTAGATTCCTAGAAGAGTGATTAGTTTTTTAACATATTTTCATACCTCTTCCTTAGACTCCTCTTCCTCAATTTCTGTGGACACAGAGGGTACCTTAGGTTTGTACCAGGATATCTGTAGCCTTCGGTCTTTGAACCGGGATCCTTGGTTAGCAGCCTAGATTGTATTTTAAATGAACATATTTTCAAAAAGAGGATCAAGTGAAGAATTTTTAAGATTGCCAGCCATGAGCTAGATCCAGGGAACATCAGGCAGATGCACATTTGAAGACCTCAAACACATGAGCCACATTCATCCGCTTCCATCTTCCAAGAGCAACTTCGCTCAAACCTGACTCTGCTGAATACTGCTCACCTCCCAGCAATCTCAAAAGATTAACAAAGCTCTGAATTGATCATGACATTGAACCTTCATCAGCGAAAGACCTACGTTACTATGAAGGCAAACAGGGGGTATCTTCCCCTTTAGTGACGCAGTAGCAACAAACACCCACACTATCTAGCTCAAACTAGTGGGATCAAACCCTGCTACATTTTAAACACAAGGGCAGACATGAGAAGTTAAAAATTCTTATTTTAGCATCTTGAAAGAAATATGTCAATTATTCTACTTACATTCTCAGCTTCTGAGCGAGATTTAAAAGTCAGAACAACACTTAATGGGGAATCCTCTTCTTGAAGGTCTTCAATATCTCCAAATTTCTATGAGAGGGAAAAAAAAAAAAAAAAAATCGATTAGGAACAGTAGCAATACTCTCCAAAAACACAATCATCATGTGCTACAATTGCAGTGTGCTGAAGTGCCACTGAAATCTTATTTTTTGGACAGAAGAGTGAGCCAGAGAAATCTCAGCTACATCATCCAGCAACATTGCAGCACTTGTACCTGTATTTTTGGGCAAAGGCTCAGATTTATTGCTATTCTAGTAAGTGGAGCTTAATTTTGCAGGAGGAAAGGAAGTGTATTAATTTATAGCTCAGAAGTGAATTCAAAGAATTCACTATTTCGCTTATTCTCTTCTGCCCTTCATCTCTGTATTTCTTCAGACCTGTTAAGCAAGTCCTTTAGAACTCATCAATTTGCAAAAGAGATTCCAGCAATAGGAATCAAACTCTGCTACCGAGCTCCTCAATACGTTCTACAAGCGTACTGCTGGGAGAAAGAAAAAAACGCAAACTAGTATGGGTAAATAAACAAGAAGTTTGCATTTTTAGAATTTATATCCTGCATAGTGGTGAAAATTGGAATGACCACAGCAATGATAGTTAAATAGCACAAAAAAAATTCCCCAAGACCAAACATACAAAAAAAAAAAGGATTCATGCACTGACTACAAGCAGCCCAAAAGAAAACTGTAGTCAACTTCGGATTTAATATGAACAGTAGAAGAGAAGTACTTTAAAAGCCAGTAAGATAATAGCTTGAATAACAGCACTGGTTGTTTGTAAAAACTTTTACTGGATTTTGCAGCTAAAGACAGCTAAAACTTTCAAAAACATGAAGTCTCAGAAATAGAATTAAAGCAAAGATCTTTTCCAAAAAGGCACTCACGTCCCCTCCTAGGACTTTTCCCAGGGTTCATAGAATCATAGAATCATAGAATGGTTAGGGCTGGAAGGGACCTTCAAAGGTCATCTAGTCCAACCCCCCTGCAAGGAACAGGGATATCTCCAACTAGATCAGGTTGCTCAGGGCCTTGTCCAACCTGGCCTTGAACGTCTCCAGGGATGGAGCATCCACCACCTCTCTGGGCAACCTGTTCCAGTGTTCTACCACAGTTCACGGCACTGTTATCATATCATAAAGCAGGCTGGGGTTTTTGATCAAAACACACAACATTTTTCACTGAATTTACCTAATCACAGCAGTAGTAGTGGCCTCTAACCTTCTGATAAGCAACGAGGCCAAAGCAGGAGTACAGTTCCCCAAAGAGCCACGCTTACCTCACTGCACGAAGAGCTGTAAAGTTCTCCGTTCCCACTCAAACCAGAAAACAAACAAGCTTTCAGATTACCACTTCTCTCGAGAACTCTACTGCTTTTCTGTATCCAGCTCTAAAGGGCAGGATTCTATGAAATTAATGTTCTGTATCAGCCACTTACTATGCAAGGAACATCCAGAAATACCAAAGTGACTTGAGCAAGCTTAGATTTCACGCTGGGTCTATTTATGAAGTATTACATGATCTCCCTGAGAAGCTGACTAGCTTTGCACCTGGACACATTTCATTCTGGGAAACGTAACCGAGAGAAATGTAAAATTGGTTTTTCCTTTATTATGTCAATTAGTTCTGGTGCTAAAGCCCAGGTGGACTTTGCCTGCGAACGAGCAAGCTGCCTGCTCTCCCGTGAGCTCAGAAACAAGCTGAACTTCTTCAAAACTGACGTCCTGTTTAGCAAAACAGCACTTTGCCTCTTGAGATAGGAATGGCTAATCTGAGCAATCGTTTCTAAACGGAGAGGCTGATAGGTATTTTTCAGCCTTCTAATGTCTGTTTAAAACTATTTTAACACAGAACTAATAAGAATAAGCTCTTTAGCTTTTCCCATTAAAAGACCGTATTGGGCAGCTTATCCACAGCCTGTTCCATGAATTCAGGATGAAGTCTTTGACTTGTTTGCACTAACAGAAACAAAAAGACTTGCACCTTCAAGAATTCGGAAAATAAAGTTGTTTACCAAGTTCCTGCCCACGGCAGGGGGGTTGGAATTAGATGGTCTTTAAGGCCCCTTCCAACCCAAACCATTCTGTGGCTCTTAGCATGCCTCTCTTTGCCAGTAAGCACACTCCCAGGGTACTGGTTACCTACTTAATAATAGTTCAGCCACAACTCTCCTCTTCAGGTTTTTCTTTTATTTTCAGCGTGACATCATACTTACAGAGAAGTGCTGTAACAATTCATCTTTTTCCTCTTCAACGAAGCCTCCGACTGTTAGTGCTTTGGGACGATGATCCACCACCATATGATTCAACATGCCCCTTCCTCTCCCACCACGACCCCGTCCTCGCCCTCTCCCTTGGGCTGGCGCTGTCTTTCCTCGACCAACAGGCAAAATGCCTAAGCGGGCAGCCTGATTAAGGAAGGCAAAGAACGTACAAAGCCATCCTCAGTTTGAAAGGATTTAAAACATTTACATGCCATAAATACATTAAAAGCATCGATTCAAACTCACCTCTACTTGTAACTGATTCAGCTTTTTTCGCAATTCAGTTGTGTCTTCTCCAGAAGACAGTCTCTTATGAAAGTCCAGTTCTGCATCTAAAAGTTCCTTTTGTGCCTTAGAGAAAAAGGTGCAGAAGGAGGAAACGGAAGGGAAAAGCAGAACTGTAATGTGTGCTTCTAATGTTCTGTTCCACTACTTCAGCAATACGTTTATGTAGATGACACGGATCAGCACACAACAGCCATACTTCCCTCTGAATTCAGTTTGGTTTAATTGCCTCCATGCCCCTCCTCTAACCCATTTTTTGAAGGACCCAGAATTCTCTGCTTCAGAATTGGAACAAGCCTGAATGAGATACACGCAAAACTAGGTCACTGAGCTCTTTAAAACCACGGCTTGCTTGTCCACGGTTATCACTCCCAAATTCAAAATACTGCTTGGAAGTATTTTGGTCTAAGGTTGGTGCGATTTTAGGACATGATAGTAGAAATAGTTACAAAAGACAGGTGGGCAAGTGTCTTGCACAATAAATACCTCTGTCTTGGACTTCAATTTTGACGGTGTAGAGGTTGCAGATGAAGTTTTTAATTCATCCTTTAACTGAGATATTTTTCCTGCTAGCTCTTTTAATGTCTTCATTATTTCTGCTCTCTCCTCTGGTTTCATGGCCTTATTTTTCTCCAGCTTGGATATCAACATCTGTGTATTAAAAGATCAGGAATATAAAATTCCAGGAAAACCAACACTGAATAGACAGGTACCTACAAAATCAGAATGTATTTACTACAAGACATTGCAGACTTACCTTCTGGCATTCTATTTGTTTTTCTAACATCTCCTGCTTCTTTTTCCTCATGTCTTGCTGGAGTTTCATTGCCTCCTATATGAGGAGAAAAATGTTTCCATCAGTGAAAAGCAGTCTGGCATTGTGTGTACTCACATATATCATATATTCTTCTTCAAGCTATAGAAGTGAAGGCCACAATGAAAACTACTAGTCTGCAAAACACACAACTATAAAGTACATCTGATCTGGAAAAAAAACTCAATTAAAAAGTCGCTAACTTCCTGCTTTGAACGACTCTACTAAACTATTGACCCCTGCGGACACCTCTTAAGAAACATATCCTATGCTGTCATTTAAGTGTGTCATACCTGCAGAGATGAAAATCAGAGAAATGCTTCTTCAAGAAAATCCAGAAAACCCACACACGACCAAGTGTGTCAAGTAAGACACCCCAAAAGGAACACTCCCTTACCCACAATTAACCTCTAGGTGCATTTGCCAGATAGTCTGATAACGATGGCAGGAACTACACTAATGTAGAAAGCTATACAGCAATATTTGAGGATTAAGGTGTCTATCAAACCTTCCTTTATAAAGTACTTTGACTGGATGAATAGTCAAGTACCTGTTTTTTTTTAAGAGCTTCTTGCACATCATGAGGTTTAGATCCTGCACCAGGCTTCACAGATGTCTTTAAATTTGAAGAACTGTAAACCATTTTTGAGTGGCTTGTAGGAGTAGAAAAAGTCTGAAAGAGTAAAAACACACACACAAAACCAGGTAATAGCTTAAAATAAATATGATATACCATCAATGAATTTTAGAAGAATGCATTCTGTGAAACACGAACAAAAACTTCCAGATTTGTGCAACGAGACAAAAGGACCAAAGCAATTAAAAGACATGCGTAAAGGCATTGGTGTAACAGTCAACTTGCTTGGAAGCAATTAGCTTAAATGCTTGTTAAAAAGATTTCTGCAAAAGATACTTTCTTTCCTCCTTCATTCAAAACTCCCTCTGTATCCCCATACCTACTGGGAAGACCACTGAAGCTGATCTTCTGCATCTGCACTATATGCAGCTTCACAGTCATGGTCTAACATCACAGTTTCTGATCAAACAAGGCAGCAAAAGTCACCTGCATGCTTCCTTTCTTAAAAGAAGGACTCTGCTGTGGCCAAGAACACATGCTGCACATGGTTCGGTGTGAATTAAACTGTATCAACTCAAACTCTACGCAGAAGCACTCTATAAGCTTCTGGCACTACTGTTAAAGCACAACATCAGTTCAAAAATCACTGGAAAAAGCAATTAGATTCGCTGACAAAAAGCTGACTCACATACAGGCTGTCAAATTTGTTTACTATGAAGCACTGCCAAAAATACCTTATGCTGCTTAAAATAGTGATACTTTGATTCTGAAGTCATCGTCCCTATTTTATACAAACAGCTAACAAAATTTGGGAGAAGTGGCTGACTGTGGTTGCAGGGAACATCAGTGAAAAGAAACGGAACCGACTGGGAACAAGTCACAAGTTCTGCTTGCTAGTTCCTTCTCAGCTAAGAGGCCGAAGCTGTAAGTGAAAGTATGATGGTCAGCCTTCATGAACACACCTGGGAGTCCTCCACCACAGCCCCAGCCTGGCTTAAGTCAGGCTGGTTTCCACCTGCTGCTCCAAGGCGACGTTTCACTGGGACTTTATTAAGGACATAGGCGCCAGATGCCAGCGGTTTATTCATCACCTGTACGTTAACAGATATTAAGAAAGTGAAAGATTATATACTCTGCTTTTCTAAAGCAGCAGCCATTTCAGAAGACTGATAACCTACATGGCTCCACCGCTAGCTGACGGCGGCACAGTACCTTTGACAGATTGCTGTGCATTGTCACAGCCGGAGTCGTGGTCAGGGCCTGCTGCTGAAGGTGAAGCTGGTGGTGAAGGGACTGCGTGGGCACCTGCTGCTGCTGCTGCTGCAGCAACGGGGGCTGCCGGTCGCCTTCTCTGTGCCACAGCACCCTTATAAACCGATTGTTCAGAACTGCCTCTGTGCTGGAAATGGCCTTCCGAGCCTCGTCGTTAGTCAAGTACTGAATTAGGGCAGCTTCGGGATCATTCTGGAAAGCAACCTAAATCAAAAGTTCGTTAGAATGCGTTATTTCTCATATCAGGCAGCAGCAAACCAATCGACAAATAATCTGCAGTCACGAGCGGGATATCCGATGGTATTAACTTATCTCAAAATACAGGTAAAACATGCTATGTGAAGCCAAGTACCTTTTGGCAAACATTACACGTACCTGCAGCGAAGCCTATATACAGTAAAACAAAATAAAATAAAATAACTCCTCCACCAAATAGCATCATATATTCAGAGCGCTGTGAACTGCCACTGGGGCATGAGTGAAGAGACCCTGGAGCTGCCTGGAGAGCTCTTTATCTGACCTCCTGGAAGACAACTGCTGTCCGGGCACGTACAACGTGCAGGTGCACCACGTTCTGAAAGAAGCATCAGCTAACACTCTTGAATAGGACTACTTTTCTCTAAAAAATAATCACAGGAATAAAACCATATCCTGGACTTTCTAGTATCATGACTGAGACAGCATGTTTTAAACGCATTATGTCATTATCGAAGTGCAGGAAGCACCACAATATCTTTTGGGCTAAAACATAAAGTTATTAACTCGAGAAATAAAGAGGCTTCCTGGGTATCTGTCTTTTATTTAGACTCTAACTGAGAACTTGAGAGAACTGCTTGCTTTAGAAAACCAAAGGGAAACTAAATGCTATTTTAACCACGTAACTCCTTGTGTTTTGCTTACGTAGTGCAAGGAACAGCACTGAACTGGAGCCAGTTCTAGGATGCAAAGTGGTAATAAAGTGATGCATATAAAAACTGTCCTGTAGCATCTTTGTCAAAATCCTGACCATGAAATACTGTAGGACCATCATACAAGAAAGAAATTGTTAGATCTCTTTAAAAAATTACGCACAAGTTGCTCAAAAACCTGAGTTGGTTTAGACACTGTTAAACTTGCAAGGATGAGACCTCATGAAGGCTGAAGCCAACATGCTTTTACAGAATTAAGATAATAATACCGAGTGGACCAAGAAAAGGTTTCTTTGATTACCTCCTCACCCAGTTAACCTCCATAAAGATTTCTCAAGGAATGTAGTTTGGTTGCAACACTCAAGAAGGCTTCAGGGAAAACAAAATACACACACACAGGCACAAAAATCAAACTTTGTTTTTTACCTGAATGTTTACAATAGTTCCAAATTTGCTGAAATGTTCGTTGAGCTGTGTAATATTATTCAATTCTGGTGGAATTTTTCGAACTTCTAATTTTGTATTAGTATACTGACTCTTTTTCAAAAATCCTGGCTTATTCTGGTTGTTATTTGCTTGCCTAGAGAAAATGAGAGCAAGATAGTAATTTAGACAGGCATGCATATACTAAAGTAAGGCAGCAAATGTTAATGCCCATTTAACTTTTGTGTTTCTCATTAGAAGTAGACAGTCTAGGCATTAACGAAAAAGAGCTCCTCCCTCCACCGAATATTTTATCTCCATATTCCACGGACACAGATTTTCTGACCCAAACAGCTCAAATTACAGGGACTAGAGAACAGCTATATTCACAGCATTGACAGCAATAAAGTGCATTCCAATTAGTCAACTGCAGTTGTTAATTCTTACTTTCCCAGCCACGGTTTCTTTAACGGTGGACATTCCATGCTACTTGAAGATCTTTTCCTGCTGTCTGGTTCAAGGACAACTCTAGTTACATTGCTGCTGTTATTGGTAATGGGAATGGGAGGTTCAGTCTGGATGATAATATTGGCAGCTGGAGGAAAGGAAAATGGCCTGTGTTATTTACCATACATCAACAGAGACACTGGAAAAGCTTTCATTTAAACAGCAAAATATGATTGAGTTGAAAAACATAAAAATTAGGAAGGCTTTATCAAGTTGGTTAGTTCTGTTTATGAAGTTACTTCAGAGATCACTTGCTAGCCAAAACAAAAAGGGGGGCAAAAGAGAGGGGAGGCAAGAGAGGGGGCAAAGAAAAAAGTAGGGAGGAAAAAAAAAAAAGAACTTCAGGTTCGTGTTCTGCCCTGTGGCATGGCTGAATGAACAACCAACTTCCCTGTATTAACCCTTGACACTGAAAAAGCAACCAAGAACATGTTCCTCCCATTGCTATCCCCTTATCCCTCCATCCCATTTTCAGCAACAAGCTGTTAATTAAGCACAACTACAGCACGAAATTACACTCTCGGAGACATTAGATTTAAAGTTTTAAGCCACTTCTGCAAACACAAAGCTGGAGCACTAGATCACAATTTGCCAAGTATTTATTTACGATGTTTTTAGGATCACACTATTGCGTTAGCCTCCTGTGTATGTCGAATATTCAACTCCTAAAAAGAAGTCTGAGTTACAAGTCAACTTTCTATGGCTTTTACACATGCCAGAGCTCTGCTGATTACACTGGTGAGAACAAAGACTGGTCATTTTTGGGCACACCGTTTCGATTCTACTTTGGAGGATGATTTGAGAGCAAACCTTCCACAGCTTGACAAAGACAGCAGAACAAGTGGCCTGAAGCACTGCTGCCAAACACTCCCCGTGCCTCACAGCCAGAAAGGGGTATCGGAAGCCCAGGGCCCGCGATAAAGCCCAACCCTGCTTTTACGATGCTGAGATGAAAACAGCAACAGCAATTTCTGCAATAATATTTAACCATACTCTGCATAGGATGAGTCACTGAAGGAAATACTGAAAAAAAGTATTTTATCTACTGAATAAGAAACATGAAGTGTAACAGTAAACACTGAAATTTAACAGCTTTTCTTTTAAGGATCAGGGCAGGTAAAGCAAGAGGGGAAAAAGAAAGTTACGCTAACGGAACGAAAATTTCTTTCAAGAGCCTTGGCTTGTTCTCTCTCCTAAAAGAGATTTTGCACGTCACCACTGTGAGACTACACCCACGTTCATCCAGTTAAGGATTCAGAATGACTTAAATGCAGACTGGGATTTCCAAGGGCTAGAATTAGAACACTACTGCAATGTTCGTCTTGGAGAGAACACCCGGCTGGCAGTCAGGCCGCCAAGCACAAAAACATGCCACGACAGCTCCCTTCTCCACTGCCACCACCACCGCCGAGGCAAGGACTGCAGAGCATCACCCCTGTGCCCCAAACATACCCTTGGCAAATCAGCCTTCAGACTCCACTGCTTAATGCCATCTTTCTGAACCGTTTGTCTTTCTAGAAGCACTCGGCACCTGCACAGTGCCTTCACGGGCTACGGAGGAATAAAAACCCAACAAGCCAAACCTCGTAACGCTCCCAAGCAAGTGGTTACGTTTAACCAAAAAGGCTCCTTTGACTGCTATATGGTCATATTAGCATTTTTTAAAAAGTTAGAGATGTCTGAAAATTGCTCTGAAATACTAGATCAGTGAGAAAAACTATTGTTTTCAGCCTGAAAAAGGGGAAAAAAAGCGTTGACGGTCTTGGATAAAAATAGCAACAGCAACGACTAGAAACCCTTCCTACCTCTTGGATTTGTATCCATCTCCCCAGATGTTAGGCCAATTAGATTTGGACGCTGCGTTTGTGCTCTCGTAAAGAACTGTCGATACTGAGATCTACCAGCACTGGTAATACTAGGAGCTTCAGGGTTATAGCCATCTGGCTCATATGTATCTATAAAAAAAGGAGAGAAATGAAAGAATTTTTCAAATGAGTTTAAGACTCGGGGTTAATTTTCCTTTAAGGAAATGCACGGATGTCCAAGAATCAGGAGTTGTTTCGGATGAAGAGAAGAGAGAAAAGAGGTACAGCCAACGCATGAGCCCTTTAAAACCCTCAACTAAACTCTATGCCCAAGCCTATCTGGGCATATTCTCTCTATTTTTCACAAGCTGATTGTTACTGTTTGTCAAAAGCGCACAGTTCACAATAGTCGAGTATTGCTGATGAGCTGCCTGAAGAGGAATGAGGTGTCTGCATGACACCCTTCACAACATCTGGCAGTGTTCCAAGGGGAGCAACAAGAGATTTAGCTTGGGCGTTTATTCTGTAGGGCCTAAGATGCAAAGAGATGTTCAGTCTTTGCTGCCCAACAGCCTAGTTTACTTCAGGAACGGATTTTTGGGGAAGAAGATACTTAAGTGATTCCAATCAAAGAAAGCTGAGAAATCAGGTAATTTGACTAATACTTACCTATTAAATTCTCTTAGTTTTTGTAAGAGTGAGATCAGTTCCCTAGGTCCAGTAAGGTACTAACGATTATTTTAATTCAAAGGGGTAACCATGAGAACACAAGATGACAGAATTGACTCTTATTATTTCTCCAGCCCAAGGTCCAAATCAAGGATGACGCATTTTTCCAACCATAAAAAGGAAAAGCTATACCAGAACTAGAATGAATCAAGTCTATGAAAAGCCTCCACAGAAACACAGTATGTCCTGGAACAGAAAGGAATGCCTACACAGGGGGACTCGACAGGCTTGAAACACTCTAAATGTCAGCTCCTTATTCCACAGCAACAACAAAGACGCTGCACTTGTAAAACAGATGCTCCAGAATTTCAATATTGATGTTTTACAGTTCAATTTCAGACTCTGCCAAGAACTTTCATTAACCTTGCAGGAGTAGAACCACAAGTTTCTCCTCCAAGATATGGAATACAATTGATTGCAAGAGGGCAACCAGCAGGTGGTACTGTAACAGCCCAAGAACAGGACACGAGAAGTCTCCACAGATGTTTTGGAGAACAGAATTATGTAGTGCAACTGCAGTCAGCGATGTCCTGTGAGCTGAGACACACAGAATCGCCCAATAGAAGTAGTTCCGAAGCTGAAAGACTCAGATGGTAACATCTAACTGCCTGGCAGCATTTGGAGATAACTGAACAGATTATCTAACAAGATATTGGTGTGATTAAAGTTCCGAAGAGCATGGAAGTTGAAAGGGAAATGACATGGATCATGAACTAGAGCCGTCCTTTGAATAGGAGGGCTCATGCTTATGTAAAAAAAAAAGATGGGAATATTATAAAACATTGAGATTTAATTACCTTATTTTGCTCATGTAAAACATGGAAATGCCATTACTCCTTTCATTATCAAAGAAATATAAGCTTTGTTGGATTTAAATTGAGCAATCTAGGTCTTTCCAGGTATTTTGCTATTTCCCCTCATAAAACCCCACTTTTTAAAAAACTGAGCTCTGTTGAGGAAGATGGACATGTCCACTGAAAGCCATCCATTTCTTTTTAAGTTAGAAAGCTAGAATCAAGTCTATTCTGGAAAAAAAAAGTACTAATGTACGTGAAGACTGCAGACACTATTGTGATACAGAGCTGGGGAAAAAAAAAAATCTCTCTCATCTGCAGTAGAAAAAAGCAGACAGGAACAAAGACCAGGTCAAACAGTAATTGCAGGTTTAGATCCTTCTTCTGCCTACCGACCTGCTACCAAACAGCTTGAAGAGGAAGAGATCTCTTTCTTGTGCCACTCTTACTGCTTTGAACGTACGGAACCCAAACGAAGCTCCCCACAAGTGATCTTTCCTCAGACAGTGACAGAACACTCCTGCTATTTCACACAGTAACAGCAGATGATGCACTGACCACAGCGAAAGCCATCAGACTTCTTTTTAGATTTCTATGTACTGGAGGAAGACAGAGGTCATAACTTCTAATCACACATCAATAGAGGAATTTTAAAACTTACATTTCAAGTAGACTTAAAAAAAAAAAGGTATTTGCTTACGTTCTGATACTGTATACAGTAGGTTCTGGGGCAAAGGAGGAGGTAGTCTTGCTCCGACAGGTGCAAGACTGGGCACAGCACTCGTCCCAGGCTGGTCACGATTATTTATCAAACTCGACTGCGTTAAAGGTGGCCCTGCAACGACACCATAGAATAGATCACAAAGACTTGTAACTCCACAGATAAAACATGCAAACGATTCGGTGCAATTTGTTTATGTCTTCCTTTGAGCAAGATCAAGACTCTAAATATCTACAATCTCATTACAGCAAAAGTAAGTTGAGGAGCACTGCTCAGGTTAGTTACTCTGATTCCAACACCTCTTCTCTTTCCCAGAAAGGTCAAAGCTTTACGCCAAAGGAAAAAAAAAGTGTCTTTTCTTCCCCAGAGATTTATTATGGTTAGAGCTTGCATTAGCTACAGCGGCTCCTCCCTCAGCTCTGCCATGGAGAATCGAGGCTTGCTCAGAGCAGGAGATCATAGCAGCAGCATCTAGATCACAGTTCTCAAACAAGAACTACAGGGCGAAAGGCACTCGTAGGCAAGGCATTTGCCTAGCTGCTTTTGCTCTGTTTGCACCATACCTGATACACACATTCCTACTTACTCTATGCCCAGAAAGGGACAACGAGTTACACTGCACGACCTATCAGGACACCTGCCATCGGCAAGCGCTGTCGGTTCGCTCGACAGCATGGCAGTTCCACCCACTAACACGCTCATGCAACATCTAGGGTTAATCCTGTACAAAATTATTTCTTATCTGCGATGAAGACAGGCTGAGAGAGTTGGGGCTGTTCAGCCTGGAGAAGAGAAGGCTCCGGGGTGATCTTATTGCAGCCTTCAGTACCTAAAGGGGCTACAGGAAAGCTGGAGAGGGACTTTTTACAAGGGTGTGTAGTGACAGGACAAGGGGCAACGGATTTAAACTGAAAGAGGGGAGATTTAGATTGGATATAAGGAAGAAATTTTTCACTCAGAGGGTGGTGAGGCACTGGAACAGGTTGCCCAGAGAAGTTGTAGATGCACCATCCCTGGAAGTGTTCAAGGCCAGGCTGGATGAGGCTTTGGGCAACCTGGTGTAGTGGAGGGTGTCCCTGCCCATGGCAGGGGGGTTGGAACTAGATGATCTTTGAGATCCCTTCCAACCCAAACCAGTCTGTGATTCTATGATTCTGTGATCTCACAGCTGCTGCTATTTGATGAAACGGTCACGGCAAGTATTGTGCTACTGGAAGAGAGAGTACTGAACAGAGTAATATCTAATACTCTACCTATTCATAGAATTTACATTATGAGATGCAGTAAGATAACAAAAAAGGCTAAAGAGTCTCAGAGATCACCATTGAGCTAAAACAAATCTTAGATGTATCCATTATCTGCTACTAAAAAGCAACACATAACAGAGCACAAACAGTAATTTATTAGAACTTTTTGGAGATTAAATCTCAACATTATTGCATTCAGGAAAAAAAAAAAAGTAATCCAATTGTCAGTGATCAATCCAAACACCACCAGGGTTAAGAGATAATCTGAAAGATAATCCCCTCTGCTTCCCCACCCAATTTACTAACTCAACTTGTGCGAGGAACATCATGTTTTACAAGCTGATTTTTTCAGAATTATTTTGCAATATTTTAAATAGCACATGGCTAGCAAAGAAACTTGAACTCATTACTTTGAATGCCATAAATCTGCCAGAAAGAGACACAGAACAATGTTTTGACCTACTTGGTACCGGAAGCACAACAGGAGGCGGTGCCTGTGGATGAGCTTGTGGAACTGGCAACCTTATACTACGAGCTGGACCTGGCAAAGGGGGCAGAAGCATACCAGGAGGAGGAGGAAGTCCCGGAGGTGGTGGAGGAAAAGGAATCATACTTGGCAAGGAAACTTCATCTACTACTAAAGGATCATTTCCATGATCAAACTGGCAAAGATCACCAAGTACACAAAATCCTCGCTCTGCAAAACAGGACGTTTAACAATCTTTTTAGAGAAAAGAAATTAGTTGTCAGCAATTTGTAGTATCTCAGCTTTTGCTGGAATTTCTTACTAAAGAAAACATGCAATCACTGATCCAACATTACATTCTCAGACAAGGTTTCAAAATACTTAAAATTAGAATAATTTTCCATAAAAGCATACAAACATACATGCATCCACCATAAAAGCTGTGGGGGGAAAAAACAGTCAGAAGCACCACCTGTTTTATAGTAAACACATCCACTGCAATCTTTATCAGAAGGGCCAGTGGTTGAAGTATTTGCCAAGCACATACAGAATTGTGAACAAGCTCCATATGTTCTTATCCAGCAAGCATCAGACTGTGAGTAAACCACTTCCAGTGAGACTAGTTATTTCTCCAGTAAAATACAGGTCATACACTGTATCACATACAGGTATACTCCGCATGCTGCTGCATTTTGACTTGCTGCCTACATTTAGTGAATACCTAAAAAAAAGGTGTCACAGAATTTGAAACTGAAAACTAAGAAACAGATAGTTTACCATCATAATCTCGACATCTTCTTTTAGGAGGAGGGTTTCTGCCAAATGAACTGGGATTGCTATGATTGTTGTAGAAATTCGACCAGCTCTCCGTTGTGTTTTCAAGATGGTGCGCAGGTGCAATTACAGTAACAGCACTGGGAATAGACTGTGCAGAGGAGTACTGTTCAGCAGATTTACTGGGAGACACAGAAACTGGGTTATACGAGCCTTCTACATCATTTCTTTCACTCTTGAATTTTGATCTCTCTCGGTGCTCTGTTTAAAAACAAAAAAAAAAGTTAGGTAAAGTCTTCATGCTTTGTTCTACATATCAGAGCCTTGAGAAAAAGATAATACACTACAGTATAAACATTTCCTTAAATATTCAGTATTCTGCATGTTAAACTGTTCTTGAAGGACCTTACCAATGGAATAAGAACTAAATATAATGCAAACAGGGTTTTAACTTCAGAAATCTAAATGTTTTCTTTGCAAAACGCACATTCATTCCTCTACTTCTTATTCCATTCTGGATTACAGCTTTTTCCTTTAAAGCAGAGAGGGGGGGGGGAAACAAACCTACCCCCTGCCCTTAACTAACGTGGTGTCAACATGCATTGCAATCTGTTGTAATCCATAGCTCTTATTTTTCTGACAGACCTGAATTAGCCCTAAAAGAACAATGGATCACATAGTAACCAGCTTCAATCCCAAAGAAACCTTCTCTAAAAAATACACAGTAACAAAAGGAAAAAGAGGGTAACACTTATGTTGCAAAAAGATAGATCTTGGCAGGGGGTGGGGTGGAGGTGGAAGTCAACAGCTTTATCAACACACAGCACAAAAATACCAGCTACCAATATCCACTGGTGTACACCTGTGGATAAATTAAGAGGTTAGCAAAGAAGAAAACAATCTCCTTAACTGTCCTACTCTGAAGAACAGCATCTTAATAATTTCAGGAACACAAAGCTCTCAAAATTTGGTTCAACCACTTGAGGTTGTCCACAGCCTGCTAGACCATACAGTGCGCAGGAGTCGTCAAGTCATCACACATGGCTGACATTAGATGTTCCCCTAAAGCAGCACCTTGGGTACCCACCTGCACTTCTGTTTGCATCACGGTCTTTGCTTCTACCCCTGCTGCGGCTACGACTTCGACTCAACCCTCTGCTTTTACTGCGACTTTTACTCCTGCCACGTCGCCAGCCGGACTTCTCTCTGTACAAGTCACTCCGGTCGTAGTATCTGTCATAGTCTCTCCATTTTCCATCATCTCTCTTTTTCTCTCTCGTTCTAGAGGAGACATATGCAGACCACAGTTAGGAAAAGAGAAACCGAATGAAAAACACAAGCTTGCAACAAGGTAAGACATGGCTCGTTCTTCCCATCCAGTTTGGACAGCGAAACACTCGAGTCAGAATTTCCCAAGTTACACAGAAAAGTACAGAATCTCAAAGCTGAATCACGAATTCATAGAAACCAGCAACGGAAGGACTAAGAAGAATCGGAAAGGTGGGACAGTCACACGACCAAAACAGAAGACGTTTTAAAAGCAATATTGACACACTGTGAACAACCCCCTCCAACAATGCTTTCCATTTATATAACACGGAAAAGAATGGAATTGATGACATTTCTAGGTATTAACATTTGAAAAATACTGTCATTTTTTCCAGAAGAGACCAACTTCTAGCGAAGAGTTCTCATGCACATGATGTAGCAGACACAGAATACATTGCAGACAGAGAAAAGGAGGGAGAAAAATACCATTTTTATGAAAAATCACTACCTACGAGGTAAAAATCCACAGTTACAGACTGCCAGCAAATACAGAATACATTAATATTTTGGTTCAAAACTAACCTTTGTTCACTGGAATCTGCACGGCTTCTCTGTGGACTGGAATACTTCTTTTTCCTGCCATCCCGCTCTTCTTCAACTGACTCTTGAAAATTCTGTTTAAGAGACAACTACCAAACAAGAACGAGTATCAAGACCAAGATTCAGTTCAAGTTGCAGTTAGCATCCCACAAAACCCAATATTTAAGTCTTACTTGCACAGAATACTTCAGCACTACAAGTAATCAAGTGCGAGAGGTTGTTGGGCTTTTTGTTTCAAAGCTGTCAGGTTTTTCTGCAGAGGAGACACCCCAAAATAAAACTACTTGGATATTCTGTTTTTAGACAGGACTCATGAAAGGTCAGTTCTCTATCCACTCTTTATGTCGTTGGAGCGAGCAATCCTACACACGAGGTGGCTTTTGAATCTTGTAACTGGAACACAACTGGAAGGAGTTACTTCTCCACGTAGATACGTCGCTAGTGCACACCTGGAAATAACCGCTTCGAACCCAAAAGCTGTTCACACGGCTGAACGAGTCACGTTCCTTGCTGGCCTCGACAAAAGCAGATTTAGAAGTCTGCCAGCTGTACCACTACTGTAAATCACTTTGAATCCATTTCTACTTTTTCTGCCTTTGCTGTCATTTTACGCTGCTTAGAAGTTACCCTAAGTTTTGGTGGCAAAGGTTTACATGCAATAATCTTTAAAATATTTTTTTCCAGTTAAAACAAATAGGAAGGCTTCCTGCATTCTTGTTTAGGATTATCTGGAGAGAACTGCTAGAAATATTCAAGACTTGGCTTGACAGGGCTCTGGACAGCCTAACCTAAGGCCCTGCTTTCAACACCAGCGGTATCACATGGTATCTGGGGTCCCTTCCAACCTGGACTGAGCTATGATTCTACACCTGGTTTGGTTTGTGTCCTCCATCTGCAGGAAGCGTGTAATACACTGAGCTAGATGACAAATCATCAAGGCCTTACTGATGTTGGGATAACTGAATAATGTCCTGATCCTGCCAACTTGTCCCATAACGCTGTCCTAGATATCTTCTTTTGCCTTATCCTTGTCCCCCCCTTCCCAAACCCCCAGAACCTCTCCTTTTTCCCCCACTAGAGCACTGGTTAAGTCAATTGATGGTAGTTCTAAACCACATTTTATAAATTATGGCAGTACTTTGAGAACTGATCAGCAAACTATGAAAGTGAAAGTCTTGTACAGTTGCAAATTACGAACGTCCATCATCAAAGCTACTTCCATAAAGTGTCATAACTCTGGGTCTCATCCTCAGATAAAAAAGGACATTGAAAAGAGAGAAAAAACCTAAAGAGCAACTTTAACTTAAATCGACTGACGAATCACGTTTCGTCAAACAATAAACAATGTTATATATTTCACAACATAACATAACACAGTTTTGTTTTCGTTGGCTGACAGACTTCCAGCTGCAATTTGTCACCTTCAGGACCGTCAGCCAGCTCTAATTCTGAAGACGGAACAGATCACTCCAGCAAGGTCCTTCCTTCGTGTTACTGGAGGCTCACAGACAAAACCACAAATCTGACTGCCCACTTAGAGTACTTGTCAGAAAAACCACGCTCTCCATGGTCCATTTACAAGAAGAGCAATAGTCTTTGCTCTTAACACTGCATGACTTAAACACTCCTGGAGTGAGGGGAAAGGGCTAGAATTTCAAATATGCTCTCACTTTTTTTGCACCTTTCCTGTAGTAATTAAAACACATATCCAGGCTAAAGTATCTGTGCAAACTGTGATCAGAGCATACAGAAATTAAGAATATTTACTTCCATAGCAATTTTCCTCCAACTCTCTCTCAAAGCTGGTACATTGGGATGCTACAAACACAGAGAAGAGGTCTTGTCCCTTGGAAAAATCACCAACTTAGAAGAAAAAAACCACCTATCTTACACAAGTGATAGCAGAGGATTATACGATATACAAAGAGACTTAGACAGCTACAGAAATACTACTTCGCTTTTCTCAAAAACCTGATTGTTTTCAATTTTGTCAACAGAACTTAAAAACAAGATGAAAGAAAGAATTGTTGGCAAATGAACGTTACCTCACTTTTTAAAAGTAATTATCCCTCAATACAGAGGTTATCACATTTCCCTGATTTTAAGTATTACAGAAAACATTTAAGATCATTTCCCTTTCCAATTTTGTATATTCTGTGAGCAACAGAAATTTTTTGGAATGGCTTTGCTGCTTCCTCCTCCCTTAAACCTTTCCAAATCATTATCAGCTCGTATTGCCAGGGACATCCGAATAGGATTTCTGAATGCTATTCATCTAGGCCAAAGGTAGACTCTACAAAGGGATTTTAAGATGTTCTTCCCTGAATGGTCAGCTTCCATTTTTCTTCAGACGCACAACGATCTTTAGTGACAATAAAAGTGGATTTTTCTTTCACATTTTGCCTCACAAACATATGAGATGGCTAATTTGAAAATTAGAGGCAGGTAGAAAAAATAATGTTACCTCCTCCTTGACTTCTTCTTTCTCCTGTCCTGCAGGCTTCGCTTCTACTTTCGTGGGTTCAAGAGAAGGAAGATAACTCTTTGTGTACAGACTTTCAAAAAGTTTATCTACAAAACCTGAAGTTTCTGAGGATACAAAGCACAAGAAAAACATTGTTACATATTGACTTAAGGGCACTCTTAGATTCACCAGGGAAGTCCCTGCAAAACATTATCCGGGCGGACTGCCCACAGCAGCAGATTAATCTGAGATTAACGAACATTAGTTCCATTTGAGGAGCTGGAATCACATTTGTGGAACTTGAGGTGGTTTATTTAGACAAAGAAATTCATCAGGTATATCAAATACAGAAACTGAGACTTTACTTTGAATCATATTTACAACTCTGAAATGGGCAAACGTGATCAAAACTTCCCAAGGCCACAGTTATTCCGTTAGCTACAGCCAGCAGCCTCTTTACGGCAGTTTTTGAGAGTAAATCCTTCACAGAACGCGAATCACCAGTTTAACATCGGATCACAAAAAAACGCACAGTAACTTCCCCGGCAAGCGCCAGATTTTTGAGTGTTTAAAACCCTGAACTTGAACTAAATTGCTACGAGAAGCTCACCAGAAGCTTGAAGGATTCATAGGGACCAGGTTGTCCAAAGTTACCACACATCGGTCAGAGGAACCTCTGGCAGCGGGACCGATGCTCTTGAAACGAAATCGCCAGCGCTTCTTTCAGAGGATTTCCTCCCACCCACCACGAACAAGACCAAGCTACACAACTTCATCTTAAGATTTTTTTTTTTTAATTACAAGATTTTTATTCCTTCACGCGCTGTAGGAAATAATCAGCGGCTAACAACAAGTATTTTGAAGGCGACGCTGGTGCATCACCCCCCCTCTCCCCTCCAATGAAACGAGAACTACTGAGCGGATGAAGCCATGGAGAGCACGTACCTTTTTGCAGAAAGACATCCAGCTGATCGGCACAGAAAGCTTTCAGCTCCTTCTCTGGTTTGTCTTTCTTGACTAATGCCACGACATAGTTGGCTAAGGCCGAGGGGTCTGCGTCACATCTATGGAGAGAAAGAACACTCTGGACTCCGCTGAAGGACGCCAAAACCCCCGTGCTGGACAAGCACTGTCACAGAGCAGCCACCCAAGAAAACCCGGCAACGCGTCGGACACTTTCCTGGCACCTAGCACCAACACAGCTGCACAGGGATGACTGAGCCAGCAAAGTGGGTTTTTTTGGTTTGTTTTTTTTCAATTACAGCACAATATTTCAGTTGCCTTGTGACCACTCCCCCACCCTACCACACCTGACAATGTTCCCACTTTTGCTCCTTCCTGAGCTTTGCTTAGGAAAAATCACTTTTCCTCTTTTTTACAGTAAGACCCAGTTCTATGCAACTGAGCAGATGCCATTGCTTCTTAACTTTCTCTAAGCACAGCAACCACCACCAAGTACGACTGCACAAGAACAGCAGAGCAAGGACCAGAAAAGTCACTGCAAAACTATTGTGAAGTATTAAAGTGGTTTTAAAGTACTAAAAAAGTAGTTCAGAAAGATATATCGAAAAAGTATATTTTCAATATGCACACGGATACATTCTGTACAGCCTAACTTACCGTGCCTAACGCACTGGGGTTCTCCTTCCCCCAGGACTACTCCATGCTGACGGATTTTACACTAACCCTTTAACGCTGGTAAAACACCTCAAGGCTGCAGTTACTGACACGGACCCGCTCCCCGCACTACCTGAGCCCTTGTCCAGCTTCGCGAAGGCCAGAGGCAGCCACCGTCGTGCAGCAACGCTCTGCCACCGATCTCTGAACTGGGAATCTCTTTAGACTCCATTATTCAGCTACTAGAGAAACGCTGAAGGTAAGAGCCTGATTAACAATGCTAAATGAATAAGCGACGGGTCCTCGTTTTGTGCCTCTCAAAAGATGCACACGGAAGCTATCAGGTGGTAGTTGGAACCGAGGACAGTTGGACAATTTAAAGATTTGGGGGTTTTTTAGATTAACATTTAGAGAGGGGATTGTGTATTTTCTAAGAACATTAACTACGGAAATAGAAAAAAACAGCATATAGACCTCAAAATAATCTCAATTAAAAAAAACTCCAACAAACAAAACACAAAAAGCCATGCAGATGACAACTGGTTAGAGAAAATAAAAATCTTCAATGAGCAGGCAACCAAGCAGCTCTACTCCAAATTAGTTTGCTTGCTGTTTCCAACTTCCAATGGAAACAATGTTAAATGTAGCAATTAACAACAAAGAAACCACAAATTTACAGATTTTACAATTCTTACACACACACAAAGAAATAAGCTACATGTAAGGTATTTGGTGGTAGTGCCCACATGCAGCTGACTGTAAATCTTTGTTTGAAAATAAAGGGGATGATACATCACTTCATAATCATTCCTATTCCTTCCTCCATATATTCCTTTCTCTTAGGCACCACACTGAATTATGCATTACAGGAGCACGTGTAAGGTGCGTACGCTCCTCCAGGTTAACCATTTCGTATTTTCACCCGTGAATCCCCAACTGTCAGGACACACCAGCAAATTCAATGGTTCTCTGCCACGAACTCGCATTCCTACGGCGCAG